TGCATAAGGGTTTTCTTTCTCCTTGCATAACCTGTTAGGGTTTTTGGGGTCACCATTTTTGTTTCTCAACAACCTTATTTCACATTCCACTTCGCACCATTCACAATGAACTCCAACACTATATGATACCTTTCCTGGACATAGCCAACATTGTTTTGACCAAATATTTCAAAAGATGTCTGACACCGGTAAGCTGTTTTGCCCTCACGTTTTTCTAGTTGCTCTTTTAGATCTATCCTTTTCCCGGAACTTGGTTTCGAACCGATGGATATCCATCCACTCGTTGGCACACGGGGCTTCTGGAAGCTTCAACTGCAAGAAACCTCCATTCTAGCATTGGCCAAATCGCAGTTTGTTGCTCATTTGTCAGACATGATGGGTTTCGAATTCGAACCATGATTCAATAACCCTTTTAGGTCCAAAGGTGGTCCACAAATTTTCCCATTCTTTGATTATTTTGCGGAGTTTATGTAGCCATCCGTTTGGTGGTGATGGATTTGAATGCATTGAGGGAGCCTTTGAAAAACCTAGAATTAAATTGTGATTCTGCTGTGGATGGGAACGCTCCGTTTAAACGAGGATTGGGGCTATAACCAAAAGCAGTTTTCACTGAGGAAAGGGTTCATAGAAAGTGTGAGGTTAGATGCTAAGAGGGTTCTTGAGGTTCTCGCACAAGATGTCCCGGTCTCGATGCCAGGTTGGTTTTAGGTGAGTTGCATGTGAGGCCATCAGGGCTTCTTGTGAGGGAGGTTCTCTTTGGAATTTTTAAGAACATAAATTCTGAGAATAAAACTAGGTGTGCAAAGCTGGCATACAAGTTTTTTGTGTGGTGTAGTCAGCAAGAGGGTTACCGGCATACTGCAAATGCATATCACTTATTTATGAACATATATGCGGAGTGTGAGGAGTTTAAGGCATTGTGGAGATTGGTTGATGAAATGATTGAGAAAAAGCTTCCGGCTACTGCTCGAACTTTCAATATCTTGATTCGTACTTGTGGTGAGGCAGGATTGGCTAAGAAATTGGTGGAGAGGTTCTTAAAATCAAAGACATTTAACTTTAGGCCTTTTAAGCACTCCTATAACGCAATCCTGCATGGTCTTCTTGTTTTAAAACAGTACAAGTTGATTGAGTGGGTTTATCAGCAGATGTTGCTTGATGGATTTTCTTCAGATATTTTAACTTATAATATTGTCATGTATGCAAATACAGACTTGGAAAGTTGGATCAATTCCACGACTGTTTGACGAGATGGTAGAAATGGATTTTTTCCAGAGTTGTCATACATTCATAATTCTACTTCATGTTCTTGGCAACGGGGACAAACCGCTTGCAGCTCTCAATCTCTTAAATCACATGAGAGAAATGGGTATAGATCCAACTGTGCTTCATTTCACTACATTGATAGATGGACTTAGCAGAGCTGGAAATATGGATGCTTGCAAGTATTTTTTTGATGAAATGATAAAGAATGGATGTATCCCAGATGTGGTGGCTTACACTGTAATGATAACAGGATATGTAGTGGCTGGTGAGCTTGAGAAAGCCCTGGAAATGTATCAAGATATGATTTCTAGAGAACAAATTCCAAATGTTTTTACATACAATTCCATAATTCGGGGATTGTGCAGGGGCAGGAAAATTTGATGAAGCATGTTCCAATGCTCAAGGAAATGGAAACCAAAGGTTGTAGTCCAAACTCTGTGTGTCTATGATAGTTTAGTGATTGTTTACGGAATGCTGGAAAACGGCTTGCTGCTCATGAAGTGATAAGACAGATGACAGAGAAGAGCAAGTACACTCACATATATTCAAGATACGAACGGAACAAATGAGGCATCGACTTTTGATCTGGATAACCGAGACCCATGATCTGCTGCGTGTTCAGCTGACTAGAAGCTGGATAATGAAGTATGTATCCCCCTCCGCTAATATATATATATATACACACCCACACATACACCACACACACATCCTTTCACTTATTTCTGCACTTAGTAACTGATTTCTGAACCTGTATGGCCATTTTTTCATAACAATTATTAATATTTTTTGTTTATCAATTTTAGGCTATACTTCTTTTTGCTAATATCGGCCTGCATTTGTCGAAGAGCTTATTTGCTACGAATAAGGTGCTTAAATTGTCTTTGATTCTATATAGTGTAAATATCATTTTGTTTTGGTAGTAGCGTTGAGGTTAATTAATTTAAATTATAAGTGGTGTTATGAACTAATTCTGTGGCATTTACTTATACTATTTAAAACTTTTAAAGTGCATAAAACATTTTTAATCTGGATGCTTGACAGTTGATTGATTAATTAGGTACACTATTTGGCTCTTCTGCTTTGAAGGAACATATGTACCTCTATTTCCCTGAAAAAGAAGAAATAAATGGTGTAATTGTATTTTAGATTTTAAGCCATCTTCTGCGTGTTCAAATTTATTACTTGTAAAGTTAACAGTTTATAATATGACTGTTTTCCGTAGCAGAAATACACTATGCATTGACTGTGTAAAGTAGTTTTAGATTTAAGCCATCTTCTGCTTGTTCTAATTTATTACTTGTAAAGTTAAAAGTTTAATATGTCTGTTTTTCCGTATAAAAATACACTATGCATTGCTGTTGGGGGTTTAAAGTAGGTTTACATTGTTTATCTAGTCACAAACTATCATGTATAGCAAGTTTGTTGACTTTTACTATAATTACCTTAAAAATTGTACAATGGTGGCGATTTGTGAGTGGGTGACAATGTAAAAATGTAAACCTGTTTTACATTATCAGTGTATCCCATTAAACTCTTTCATAATAACTGATCAGTTTACATATTTAATTATTGTGCTGAAAATACACTTTTGATTATTTTCACTGAAGTATATAAACTGAAATGATATAACACTAATTTTTAGCTTTTGGAGGTGTAAGACTAATCTTCCTGGTTCATGAGTTCCAAAATCCGGAGCAAGCAACAAACAACAGCTTCAAATATTGCCAATAGTCAGAGATGCAGTAATTATTTAAGTTGATCTCCACACACATGCTTAAGCTGGTTGCTTTTCTGTGGCTTCAAAGGGCAGCCATTCAGTTTGATGCCACATTCCAGATGAAGATTGGAAAGCTTATCCTCTTCTATTGTCAGGTTATTGTTATGGTTCATTTTTTGGCTTGATATTTTGTTTTTCATACTTGATAGGCATATTCTGTCATCTGCCATGGGAGCAGTCCAACAGTAAGGGTGTCTTCACATATATTCATCTCGCTTGAGATCTTTTTATTGCAAAAGCGTATGCTGTTGTTAGAGATATTAAAGTGTATAACTTTATGGTAGATAACAACACTTCTTTGCCTAAAGCACACAATCGTCTGTATAATAAGTAGCATTTTACATGGCTTATCTTTTGGAATGCTACTTTCCAAATTTTAAATCAGGGCTGCTTTTATTTTTGACACTAATTGCATCTGCTTTTGTTGTGCAAACAATTTCATCTTTGCTCGTTAGAAAGTTTCCCAACGTAGGAACCACTTATGTCAGATTCAATTGTTTTTACAAGGCTTCCTTTTCATTCTCCTTCAAACAGATTTTTTGCTTAATATTTCTCCGATTTATCGCCAAGTGATACATGGGACACGTTGATCAATTTTTCATGTACATAGAGTCACTGTCATCTCTGAAGTCTTTTCCAAACTTTCTTGATTCACCCTCTCTCACATGTATTTTTCCTAGTATTGGATTTATTTTTGAAACCACTCACATTATAACACTGTTCTTGCAGTTAAACATCATACAGGATAAATGTTGAACGTAAGTGTAATACATCCTCATCTCAAGTTCCCGCTCTGATTGTACAATCTCATAGGATTGATGTTTTTAGGTTTCTGTTGGATGGATTGGCGACTCAAGTGTTTACATTCGTCATCCGGGGCTGTGTATCTACATGTAATGATGAAGGCGGCCGTTGCTTTTTTTGGTCTGTCAGCTAAGCCTATTCAGCATTGCTTTTTCCCCCTTGATCTTTCTAATACGGTTTATTCGTTTATTTTGTATTCCTGATTGAATTGACTGGTTTTATAGCCATACAACTTACCGTGTGAGATTTCCTATACTGAGAATGAGACTGAGGATAAAATTGAACGTTTCATTTCATCCCAAGGTGTGTTGGCTGTTGAACCCTACCACCGCCGAGCAAAACTCTAACTAAATTGAAAAAGATTTAGAAAAAAAACCATTGAATGTCTAAATATATAGATAATTTTTAAAATCAAGTGCTGACTTTAATAAAATTGCATTTTAAACTTAGAAATCAAGTGGTCCCTATTTCTTCCACGGATTAAGAGTACTGAGTTTATGGAACCGTTCTTCAAATCTGCGAATAATAAAAGCATTCAGATTCAGCATTATTCATATCCGCGTTCATCAAAGTAGTCCAAATAAAAATAATTCCTTGTACCAGGCATTGGAACATGTATACGAGAAATCCATTTACTCTTAAATAGTCAAGTTCATTGGAAATCTGTTACCTTCTCCGCGCAAGAGTCATACTAAGTTCGTTGTTGGCATATTTTAAGAACTGAAAGACATCTGAGTGATTCATGATGATGTCTATAACATTGACCGTGCTTATTACAGTATTACTAAGCATAAGGTGGGATTTCCTATTCACACAGCACAACGTTCTTTGTTTCCCACTTAAAACCTCTAATCTTTCCCCCTCCCCTCCCCCCACCCCTCCTCCCCCCGCCCTTTATTTTTGTTTAGTCTTGTATTTTTCATGATATCTTTTTGCTCACCACACCATCAATCTTCGATTGTAGTTGTATCACTAGTCTTCAACTATGTCGATCCATTCTGGGCTTCTCACTATTTGCTCACATGTTGGGCATAATGTCAGTACTTACAGTTTACTGTGGTGGTACTTGTTGCAGACAGACACAGAGGACATAAAAACTATTGAACAGTCGCAAGTTTTTTCTTATTTTAAGTAATTTTGTCCGGAAAATGATAGTAGCTAGCTAAATGGTTGCAGACTTTCATGTTTAGAACAGTCATAAAATTTAGTGAACTTCTGTGACATGTTTGGCCATATGTACAGCCAAAGCTAACCAAATGATTCAGAACAATAAATTAAAATGCTTTCCTTTTCAAAGAACCTTGAGTGTTTTAAGTTATCTATCTCTCAGAAGAAAGATTTAAAAGCCACTTTTTGCCTCACTTATTCTTTAAGCGGAGGGAGCACACCCTTAACCCCTTTTGAACCATGCTTCCAGTGGCTGATAGAAAGTGATCCACAAAGAATGGAAGAGGATTCTCACTGTACCAGTTTTTTTTCCTTCTGCACACTCTTGGTACAATTTATAAGAACGAGCAGAAGGCATAGATATCATCAAACTCAAAAAGATAATTCGAACCGAGAAAAGTTTTCATTATTCATAAACTATACGAACAATCTGCTGCTTAATATCTATATCGGGATATCTTAAAGGAGGGGAAGAATTTGAAAATTTGGATGATATGTATTGCTTTTATTTTTTCTCTTCCGGTTTCTCTTCTGGCTTCTCTTCATTCTTTTCCTCTTTCTTTTCCTCTTTCTTTTCTTCTTTCTTCTCTTCCTTTGCAGGTCCAACTGATATTATATCTACCTTCCCTACTTTCTTCAGCTTCTTCACCACCGCCACTGCATCCATTTCGCCAACCACTATCAACTTCTGTTCCTTCACATCTGCAGCTATCGAATCAACCCCTATATTGTTTCCACGAACAACAGTTAACAGATCAAAAGAAAAGGTTTTCGATGACCAGAACGAAAATGAAACATAAGTAAACACCACCATAATATCTCAGCTCTTCTATTGCTTTCCTTCTTTTTTTTTCATCTTCATGTAAGGACCTTTAATACCACCTTCTGCTACGGATCCGTGAGGGACAGGAAATGCAGACAGAGGCAATAGAATGAATAAACAAAATTTCCATCAATACTTGAGTTAAAATATACATACAAATATAACAAACAAGCACTAACATGTGCATGTGGAATAAAACTAAGAAAGAGAGAGCGAGAGAGAGAAATATTGCAGATGATTGAAGATGAAAAAACAGTACCTGAGCCTCCATTGTGAAGAGGAAGATGTGCGTGAAAAGAAGAAAAAGGGTAATGAAGGGTCGAAAACTTGTGTGGCCTTTGTAATAGAAGTAAGGCGTGCGGTTGTGGATATCTTCTTTTATTTGTGGGTGTGTCTGTGTGTGCTACATCCAAAAGATGGACACTTTAAATGCAAAACTGTTGGCCAGCATAGCTCAACTCAATAGCACACAAAGGACAAACGTTGACGTGATGAACTGTGTTACTCGCCAGGTGAATTTTCTCTGTAAAATTTTCTCAACCATAGTGTTTCGGATCAGTGGAAGAATTATCAGAACAAAAATATAAAATCAACATATTTTTCATTTTGATTTCCTATGTACCTTCTCACACAGTCAACTTGTTATATGTTTGTACGTAAAGAAAAAGAATTTGATCACGTCAGGGAACATGTTAACAATATTTAAAAAAGCGAAATATGTGGAAAGGGAAAAGAAGCATGTATGGAAGTTAAAAGATAAATGGCGATATTGAGATTCATGGTAATCCATCACTTTAAATTAAGAATTGTTTTACAGCAATGGCAATGAGGCACCAACTCATGGTCTACTCATCACGACAAATCTAATTAAAATTACAAGTTAGATGAAAGACTGTCACTTTGCAGCTTCAATCTATAATATTGTTATTCCTGTGATTGTGCCCTACTCTTAAAAATTGCATTCACCCCACTATTCTTTTGTCTTGTATCGTAATACCTGAAAAAGAAAACACTGTAGATACAAAATGTAAGACAAAAAGTTTCTCTATTAACATTAACTTATATGCAAGTTAATAAGAAAAGATAGATAACTTATATAAGAAGTTAATATTTCAATTTTTATTACATTCTTTTTCATGGAAAAGTTCTTATGAAAGGTTAATTCATTAACAGAATCATATTTATTTTAAATAAAAATTATATTTTATGAAGCTTAAAGCTTAATTGTGATTTAATAACCTGGGTTATTTTTCTATTAGAGATTAAGTCTCCACTAAAATGAACTTCTCCATATGCATGCATTTGATAGCAATAAGATGAGATAGAGATAAGAATAAATAAAATTGATCAAATCAAATTATTAACAAATAACAAGAATAAAACATAAGATTTGTTAATAAAAGAATTATTAGAATAAATAAATGTTAGGAATTACTTGAATGTCTTGTAAAAGTTGAGATAAATATACGAAAAATACAACGTACAAATATTAACTTTAAGATTTTATATTAAAAATAATATCAATTGTTTTATATGAGCAACTTATATGTGGTCTATATCCCATCAAAAGTCAGTAATTTATTTGGAGTCCCAACCAATAGTTAAAGTCATTAAAAGTGTGTTGAAATAAATGTTGTAACAATTATATTATATGTAGTATGTTATTAAACAAATTTTATTTTAGTGATGAAAAATTTAAAAATTATACTAATATTTCAAACATAAATACTAAAGGCATTATAGAATTAGATTCAAATTAAGTGATTACATACTATAATTAGATTTGAAATAAGGAATGACTTCTTTTTAAAAGGAAGTTGAATATAAAGTTGTTCTTCCCTACCCTACAAGCAAGGTAACAAGAAGTAGAAGTTTGTAAGCACCATAATTACGATTAAATGCAAAGAAAGTTTTGACCTTTGAGTAACTCCACTGATGCATGTATTTCCATTTTACTGTGCCAATTGAATCCAATACAGTACAGTCATGCAAAGCTTATAGTCCACTGTTCATGTTCAAAAAAACATCAATTTTTCAATATTCTACTTCCTTTTTTATGGTATTTTTAGTGTAGGCATGGATTGAAAATTCAATATAAATTCAAATAATTGTATTAGAATTAAAATCTAAATTCATATATCTTCTAAAACAAATAATTGATATTTTGTAGATCTAAATATAAATAATTAAATTAAATTTTAAATCCAAACTCTCATTTTAAAAGTTAAAATAGTTTGGATGTTTTACAAATTAGTCTCACACCGATTTCAAAAAGGATATTTTAAAAAATCAGTTTTAAATTAACATAGAAAAATTATTATTTAGAATGAAAAGGAGATAGAATATAAAAAAGAGGGTCCATAGGCTTCAAAGATTCGAAAAAAAGGAAATTAAAAAAAGGAATCAATTATCATAAAGGAACCAGGGGAGGAAGGGAAGGAAAACTTGAAACAGGTAAGGACAAAACGACTATAAAATAAATATAAAACTAATTATAATAAAATTATAAAAAATGACTTATATTTATTTTTATAATTATAATAATAACAATAATAATATTAATTTTATTATCATAAAAAAAATTAAAAAGTGAACACATGTTTCTCACTAGTACTTCATAAAATATGTAATTAATTAATAATTAAAAATATAAATATTATTTCATATTTAGTATATATATATATATATATATATATATATATATGGGGTTTGCTAACGCGCGTACGCCTGTTTTTCAGTTGGTACATTTTAGCAATGTGTACCGGATTTTAGTAGACAAAAATACCTTTATATATCATGGATTCTAAGTTTTAAGGTTAAGGGTATTTTAATAATTTTCATTCTCAAAACTTAAAAAAAAAAAAAAAAGAAACCCCCCAAAACCCTTACTCACCTCTCTCATTCCTCTCAATCCTTTCTCTTTCATCTCTCTCACTCGACCTTTTCTGTCATTCCTACTGTAGCCCCAATTGAAAAAATCAGAAACACTTGCCTTTAAACAATTTGTCTTTCTAAAGAGTTGAGTCATTGACATATTCACCTTGAGCAAAGGTTCATTCAAGATCTCTTCAATTTCACCATCTTCACTAATTTCTCTAATTTCATCATCTGCATATGTGAATCATCATCTATAAAAAAACCTCCAGGCCAATTACCAATTCTCGGATGTCATTATGCTTGTGAAAATTAGATAAGACAAAAATTATAAATAAAAAACTCATTATAAAGTCATTTTTTATAAGAAATTGTTTAACAAAAGTATTTCTGATTTTTTTCCAGGTCAATTACCAATTCCTTTATGCTTGTGAAAATTGGAAAATTTAGATAAGACAAAAATTATAAGATGAAAACTCATTATAAAATCATTTTTTTAAGATTGTTTAACTGCAAGTGTTTCTGATTTTTTCAATTGGAGCTACCGTAAGGATGACAGAGAAAAGATTGAAGTGAGAAAGAGGAAGAAATGGTTGAGAGAATGAGAGAGGTGAGTAAGGGTTTGGGGGTTTCCTTTTTTTTTTTAATTTGAGAATGAAATTATTAAAATACCCTTACCCTTTAAACTTAGAATCCATAATATAAGGATATTTTGTCTACTAAAATCCGGTACACATTGCTAAAATGTACCAACTGAAAAATAACCGTCGTTTCATTAACGTTATTTTTAAAATTCAATTGGATTTGGGCCTTTCTGGTAGAATGGATTTGGGCTTTAAAGCAGCGTCCATAGGATTTTTGAAACAAATTTATCATCATCCTACCCCTCCAACATCTCTCTTGTAAATTCAAAAATTTCATTTTTAATCTTTTAACATCTCAACTTGCATCTCTAACCTTTTCAAAAAATCTAATTTTAACTTTAATAAAAAGATTTTTATTTTTTTCTCTTTTTTATTAAAGACACTCTAACAAATATCTTTCTATTTTTTTCTCTTTTTACTAATACTATTCTGCATCACCTTAATAATAATTTAATTTAATTTAAAATTTAAATATTATTTAATATAATTTTATATTTTAATAATTATCAAAATATGATTTATATTATTACAATAGTTATATTAAAAAATAAAAATAAAATAATTAAAATAATAATAATAAAAATAAAAAATAAAAAAAATAAAATAATAATAATATAAAATTTGATTTGACATGTTAAAATATATTAAAATATTAAAATAAATTAAACAATTATTAAATTTTAAATAGAAACAAAAATTTTAAATATGCTAACGTTTTGGTTTTTATTTAAAATTTAAGAAATATTTAATTTAATTAAAAATAACAATATTATTTATTATATTTTTATAATTTAATAATTATTAAAATATGATTTATATTTTATAATAATTTTATTAAAAAAGTAAAAATAAAAATAGCTAAAATAAAAGTAATAATAATGAAAATGAAAATAGTGTTTAAAATCACATTAAAAATATTTAAATATATTATATTATATTAAAATATTAAATAAAATTAAATGATTATTAAAATTAAAATAAAAAAAATTTAAAATTTGTCAATTGGATATAGAAATCCGATAATATATTTTACGGATATGGATATCCGATTAAAAATTTTGTTTTTTATTTAATTTTAATAATTATTTAATTTAATTTAATTATTAATTTAATTTAATATATTCAAATATATTAAATATGAATTTAAATTTTTTTTTTATTTTTTATTTTTTTAATAAAACTATTATAAAAATATAAATTATATTTTAATAATTATTAAAATATAAAAGTATAATAAATAATATTTTCATTTTCATTTAAATGAAATATTTATTAAATTTTAAATAAAAAATAAAACCGTTAGCATATTTAAAAATAAATTCTATTTGAAATTTAATAATTTAATTTATTTTAATATTTTAATATATTTTAACATATCAAATCAAATTTTATATTATTATTATTATTTCATTTTTTTTAATTAGTATTATTATAATATAAATGATGATTATTAAAATATAAAATTATATTAAATAATATTTAAATTTTAAATTAAATTAAATTATTATTAAGGCGGTGTAGTGATTTAGTAAAAAAGAAAGAAAATAAAAAAAATATTTTATTAAAGTACTTTTAATAAGAAAAAGAAGAAAATAAAAATATTTTTATTAAAATTAAAAAATAAATCTTTTGAAAAAATTGGAGGTACAAATGTTAAAAAATTAAAAATAAAATTTTTAGAAGTAGATAATGAAATGTTAGAAGTGTATGATGAAACACTCTAATTTATAATACAAACTTAAACTTAAAAGATAATATAAAATATAAATAAAATTTTGGATTGTGAAATTTGTAATACAAAATTATATTTAATTGTATAATCTATAATACAAATTTAAAAAATAATTCAACACATAAAATACATTCAAGATTATATAATTTATAATATAAATTTATATTTTAAATTGTATTAAA